TGGTTGGAGACGAACCTCCGTCTCCAGCAATGGAGACAAGGTCCCTTCGTCTCCTTGGCCATGGAGACGAAGGGACCTCGTCTCCATAGCCATGGAGACGAAGGGACTTCGTTTCCATGGCTGTGGAGACGAAGATCTTTGTCTCCATAGCTGGAGACGAAGCCGGCCGAATCGTCTCCGGGCGGTAGTTTCTGTTTTTTTTTTTTAATATTTTAATTATTTATTTATTAAAAATTATTTTAAAAAATGAATTTTAAAATCGGTAACTTGCAACATCAGGTAAACAAGTCATTTTGGGCTAAATTGTATGTTTTTGTGTTGTTTAATGGCTCGATTGCATTCTTTTTTACTTCAATGGCCTAATTGCAATGTTGTGCGCAGTTGAGTGGCCTATTTGACCCTTATTCCTATTTATAATATAATATGAAAGTGGGATCACTTTTGAAAGTAAGAGAGTATTGTAGGGATGTAGAGAAAATAGTTGAAGAATTGCAAATTTGATAATGTGGAAGTGGGACCCATTTTTAAAAGTGAGCTGAGAGAGTATTGTAGGGATAATGATAGTCTTAAAACGAAGTGTAAAATTGAAAATTTAGGTTTTGCACTCCAATTTAAAGCAATATGTGATTCCTAGCTTTCAGCAGTCTGCGCACATATTTTTTCAAATTGAGTTTTTACTCTCCTAAATCTGCAATCAAAATGTGGAATAATCAACTAGAAGGCAAAAAAAGTTCATCTTCAACTTCATCCACAAACTTCCCAAGGCAAAGATTTATGGCTTTCTAGTTGATTATCCCACATTTTGATTGCAGATTTAGGAGAACAAAAACCTAATTTGAAGAAATATGTGCGCAGACTGCAAAAAGGAATCACAAATTGCTTTAAATTAGTGTGTAAAACCTAAATTTCCAGTTTTATCCTTCATTTTAACCCCAACTTAACGTCAAAGCTAACGGAGGACCATTTTGGCTTAAAATTTAAAAGTCAGAGAACCACTTTGAGAAAATAGTAAATACCCAAAATGGTCCATCGACTATAGCTAAATTCACAAATTGGTCATCGACTTTCAATTTCAACCAATTAAGTTCTTAACTTTGTAATTTTGACACGATTTGGTCCTCCATCTATTTGATCGTTTGTTGACCGTGATCGACGATCTCCAGAAGAACCTTCAGCTCACGTCGGAGCACGTGGAGGCCTTCAGGATGACGTTGCACTGGTTCAGAAACACGTCGTCGTCTTTGCTCTGGTACGAACTTAACTACATTGAATCCAAAGGGAGGATGAAGAAAGGCGATCGGATTTGGTAGATTGCTTTCGGCAGTGTATTCAAACGTAACAGTGCGGTCTGGAAATACAACCAAAACCTTAAAAAATCGACGATGAACCATGAAATTACATATATATTTTCAAAAATCACAGTCAACAAACGGTCAAATAGACAGAGGACCAAATTGTGTTAAAATTACAAAGTTAAGGACTTAATTGGTTGAAATTAAAAGTCGATGACCAATTTGTGAATTTAGCTATAGTCGATGGACCATTTTGAATATTTACTCATGAGAAAGTTAAAAGTCAAGGGACCAATTTGAAAAAATGTCATAGTCAGAGGACCATTTTGAGAATTAACTCATATGAAAACTAAATCATGCAATTTGGGCAAATTTTATTATTGGTCCATTAAGTAATTAAGTATTATTTTAATTGCATTTTAGTTTCATTTCATAATATTGCTCTATCTTTCAGTTCCATTTTTCACATACACTAGTTTCATTATAGCAATACCAAAGTATCATTTTAATTTTACTACAATTTTATTTGATAATTACATTACTGTGTGAGCTATATTTTGTAGTTTCATTTTCCATACACACTAGTTTAATTATAATAATGTTAAAATATTATTATTTTAATTACATTCCACGTTGATTTGATAATATATTATTGTATGGCTCCGATTTTAGTTTCATTTTTGACACACTAACTTCATTTTAACAATATTAAAGTATCATTTTAATTATACTGCAGTTTCATTTGACAATATACGTTGTTGAATGAGTTCTATTTTTTAGTTTCATTTTCCACACATACTAGTTTCATTTTAGTAATACTAAATTATCATTTTAATTATGCTGCAATTTTATTTGACAATATACGTTGTTGAATGAGTTCTATTTTTTAGTTTCATTTTGAAATTGCAGTATAATTAAAATGATATTTTAGTATTACTAAAATATCATTTAATTATGCTGCAATTTCATTTGACAATATACGTTGTTGAATGAGTTCTATTTTTTAGTTTCATTTTCCACGCATATTAGTTTCATTTTAGTAATACTAAAATATTATTTTAATTCTACTACAGTTTTATTTGACAATCATGGTTCACATAGCACTATGGACCATGTATAACAACTGATGCAACTCATGAAAGTTGGGACCGTTCACTTCATAAGAAAATCATGCAAGTTGGGACCATTCACTTCATAAAGTACAGTATATAAGAAAATCATGCAAGTGGGGACTGTTCACTCCATAAGTACAATAAGAAAATCATGCAAGTTGGCGAACCGCGGATTGACTTTATATATACAATCAGAGTGTGCTGTGTGTGAAAACTTCAGGCTTCAGCTACCCACTCTTTCATATATTCTAATGAAAGGGGCTGACCATGAAGGATTCCTTCAATTCTAATCCATTTTACTAGTTGTAAATTGACACATGTGCTATTAAATAATATTCAATGAACAACAAAAATCTAATAAAATTAAATTATTAAAATAAATAAATAAATATTAGAAAATAAAATTTCAATTTTTTATAATAAGAAATATTATTATATAGTAGTTTTTTTTTTTTTTTTTTTTTTTTAAATGCATTGAATTATTGCAGATGTTTCAATAAAAAAAAAAAAGCTTTTAGCAAATGTAATTAGTTTTTCTTACTTAAATAACACTTCTAGTGTAATTAAATATTGTCACAAAAGAATATGTTAATTTAATGGGCTGAACTATGGGCTTCCTTTGATATGAACTTTTCCAGACAGAACTGATACAGGATTGAAGAAGTGAAGCCCACTAAAAAGCTAATTCCCTGGCAATTATACGGATAGTGATTCTGTGTATGGTGTATACGGATGCAAAAACGACATTATTTTGTTAAAAAAAAAAGTGTTCCCTTAAAAAAAAAAATTCAGATTCGATTCCCAGCAACAACATTATGTTGTTCATTCATTCTGGAATTTTAGTTCATAGATTATGGAATTTTAGTTCATTGATTCTGGAATTATAGTTCATCGATTCTGGAATTGTAGTTCATCGATTCTGAAATTTTAGTTCATAGATTCTGAAATTTTAGTTCATTCATTCTGGAATTTTTAGTTCATAGATTAGATTCTGGAATTTTAGTTCATAGATTATGGAATTATAGTTCATCGATTCTGGAATTTTAGTTCATATGTTGTTGTTGGGAATCGAACATGAATTTTTTTTTTTTAAGGGAAGACGAGCGTTTTTAATAAAAAGACGTCGTTTTTGCATCCGTATGCACCATGCATGGTGCATACGGATGCACAACATAATTTGCCCAATTATACAGAGCGTTGAGGATCAGAGAGGAGGGCACTTTATATCGTGCACCACGGCGGGCACACACGCGTGTTTCAATTGCTGACGTCACTCCGTCCGTCCAAACGGTCCAAACCCCATTATGTGTATTCAGTTATGAGTTTCTGTGTATTCATTTATGAGTTTCTTCATAAGAAGTTAACAAAATTAATAGTCAATTTTAACGGAATTAATGATTGTTATTAATTATAGTATATTTAAAAGTGCATGATTAAATTGCAAAAAAGTAATGTATATGGACTGAATTGTACAAAATTATATTGTAAAGAAACCCCACAGTTACTTTGACCTCTATTTGTTGATGATTCTCTAGAGAATCAATACTTATATTGTGGACTAAAGTTCACATAACACCTCTAGCTAATAGTCAACAGCATGTTCGTCGAAGGCTCAGAGGTAAGTTCTTGGATATTTACTTTGTTTGGAGGAGTAACTGGAACCCATATTATTTTAAATTAATTACTTGGAATTTTCATTAATTTGGTTGACCATGAATAGTGTGAGGTAGAGTAATTGGTCCAGGTTGCAGGTTTTTCTTGAACATCACCCATCACTCGCTCTCAAGTTCATAGGGACAACAAATATATTTTACCAAATTATTCAATTCCCCACTAATTGCACAAAGTCTTTGGTCTTTGTCATCTAGCTAAGGACTAGCAACAGGTGATTGAACGACTTACATTTTAGTCAATTACCAGTCTACCAAATGTGTTGTAAGGTTGTGGAAGAGGGATTCATCATGCAATGAGATTATAGTTTGTTGTGTATATGATTGGGATCTTAGTGTGCTATAAACTCTTTATCTTAGTGTGTTATATATAACCGCCGCTAAATATATGTCGCTAAAAATCTAATTTGTTGTAGTGCAAGGAGCCCCCACCCCAACCTTAAGGGCCCCCACACCCCGGCCTGACATAGCATTCTCAACTGAACATGAACCACATAGATCAGACTAGACCTTTGCTTACTGCGTACAAGGAGCCCCGGGCTCCTCACTTTGAGAGGTTGTTCCCACACTGCCGCTAGTGAGACTCAATCCCTGGGCATTCTTTCAAACTTTCATCTCTATGACCAGTTGACCTGCCCATGCGGGCTCATTTGATATAGTCATAGTTATACCGCTTGACTACAATTCCCTTTTTTTTTTTTTTTTTTTGACTGCATTCCCTTTTTTTTTTTTGCGTAGATTATCCTTCAAGCTCAAAGGGCAAGAAATAAAAAATAGTAAAATTGACTTCATCAGTATTGGTTGGTATTCTGGTGGTGAGCTTGACCCTGATTGTGGTCATTATATTGTACAAACGAATTGAAAAAAAGGAGGAGATCAATTTAAAGTTAAAATGGGAAGAAGAACAAATATTATTTGAAGTGTCAACAATAACAAGGGCTACAAATAACTTTTCACTCAACAACAAGGTTGGTGAGGGAGGATATGGGCATGTTTACAAGGTAAAATCTTTTGTATTTTTATTTTATTGTATTTTTGCATATGGATATGGACAATTATTTACAATCATTGAAGCCAATATATTTATTAGAAATGTGATAATTCATACTAGCTATATACTAAATATGACAGATGAAACAACATTTTTTTAAAAATATTTTATTATCCAAAATGTTAGTATCAAGCGATTACCACTTACGTCTAACAATTAGATGGGAGACCAATCAATCTTAAATGTTATTGTTGACGCTTACCACTTACACCAATAGTTATAGCTAGTAGTGAATGCACAATTTTATTTTCTTATAGACCGCCACATATTTTCGAGACATTGAGTGCTGGACTTATCTCTTTAAGCCCTTTACCGACCTCCACCCAACAATTCGCCAGCTATCTAGGTGCTAGACTTGGCGTTTATTGGCCTACGCCTAACACAAAATTATATTCATCAGTTCAATCTAAAAATTTCATTTGCAGGGTGTACTAGATGATAGAAAGGAAATAGCCGTGAAACGGCTTTCAAAGACATCTAAACAAGGGCTTGGAGAATTTAAAAATGAAGTCAATTCTATTGCCTGACTTCAACATAGGAATCTTGTAAAGCTTCTGAGATGGTGCATTCAAGAAGATGAAAAGATGTTGATCTATGAATATATGCCAAACAAAAGCCTTGACTCATATATATTTGGTACGACGTTCGTATCCTAGTTTTGATCAAACTCTATTACTACATTTGATCACTTCATCAATCCCAATTTGGATTTTAAATATTTTCCTTGATAGCATTCTTTTAACCAAGAAATGTCTTCTTGGAATTGAAAGTGCCCTTCTTGGGTGATTTTTTTTTTTTTTTAAAAAAAAAAAAAAGAAAGAAAGAAAGGAATGTAAGTAAATTGTATAAAAATATTTGGCAGATATTAAAAAAAGAGCATTACTTGATTGGTCAAAACACTTCAACATTATCACTGGAATTGCAAGAGGGCTTTTGTATTTGCACCAAGATTCTCGACTAAAAATTATTCATAGAGATCTCAAAGCTAGCAATATTTTGTTGGATATTGACATGAATCCAAAAATATCCGACTTTGGCTTGGCAAGGAGCATTGGATTAAACGAGACAGGAGCAAACACAAACCGAGTTGTTGGAACACTGTAAGGTTTCAATTTCACTTTGCATTCATTTGTTTGCTTTTTGATCATTGAACATAATAGATTAACATTTCAAAATACAGTGGTTATATGTCGCCGGAGTACGCTGGACATGGGGTCTTTTCTATTAAATCAGATATGTTCAGTTTTGGTGTTTTGGTACTAGAAATTGTGAACGGGAAAAGAAATAGAGGATTTTCTCATCATCAAGATCACTATGAGAACCTTCTTGGCCATGTATGTCTCACTTTTATGCATAATTATTTATTCATTAAGTTTGAATTCAAGTCTTGATCTACTAATTCATATTTACTATAGGCATGGAAGCTTTATAGCGATGGTAGATTGATTGAACTTGTAGACGAGCATCTAAATGCACCATCTGATTTGCCACAAGTTCTAAGATCAATCCATGTCGGCCTATTATGTGTTCAACACTACCCTGAAGATAGGCCAAGCACGTCTTCCATAGTTCATATGTTAGCTAACAATGTTGAGTTACCCATTGCTAAAGAGCCTGGTTTCTTCACAAAAACAAGGGTGAATGAGACGAAGTCTTCTTTAGGCGCTGAAGTATCATGTTCCATAAATGAAGTCACCATCTCATCATTCGGTCCCCGTTAAAAAGAGTTTGTATATAATTGAGTTACGTTATTTCTACCAGGACTATGTGGTCCAATGGTACCCGGGTTGGACTTTCATTTGGAAGGTTGTAAGTTCGAGCCTCAGTGGAGGCATTATTAGCTCTTTGTGTTTCAGTAGGTTGAGAAAGTATATGAACAGATACTACAATGTAATAGAGCTAGTAACATTCAAAAAAAGAGTTACGTTATTTCTATTTATATTTACCCTTAGTTTGTATTTGTTTTTACAAATTTCATAGGGAAAACTTCTAGCATCAAATTAAACCACTTTGACGTTACGTTCTCTGTTGTGGTAACAGAGAACTTTTATCCTGAACATTGTACTAGTTCAATGCATGAATTGAACTTTTTTTCTATACCAATTTGCTATCCTTTTCGTAGAGCCGCTCGGCTGCCTTGGTCCGACGAAAAAGACCGGCCATAGTGCAGCTCAGCTGCAGAATAACATGCAAGTTGTTAGAGTCAAAGATAAATCAAGGTAAGCAACGCGGGCTTAAAGACTCATGATCTCATGAGCCCTGGTTCGCCGACCCTATTGGTCGACCAATCCCGAGAGCCCCCGCTCAGCAGCACGTCTATTATGGGGGTGTGGTTGGGGGACTCAGCTCTTCTCCGCTTCTTGGTCCGGGTCGCCTCGTCAACCTCGGGGACTTTATCTTTACCCCACTTATTGGAGGAATCGAACCTCACATTGTGGTTGAAAACAAAACTTAAGTGAGACTTCTTATCCACTAGACCAATACACTGGTCCCTGGGAGTATCTATAACTTTTCATATGTTTGGTTCAATGTGATTCAATTTGTTTATTTGTATTCATATTATTGTATAATCAAGGGCAAATTGTAATTTATGCCCCTCCATAATATGCCAATTATCAATGTCGCACCTGAATTATTAGTGATGTAAATGTTGCCCCTTAATTTCCAAAATTGCTCCTCTCGTACCGTACAGGAGGGGCAATATATGTACCATTTTGAAAAATGAGGGGCAACATTTACACTACGAGAGAGCACTATATGTACCGTTTTAAAAATTGAGGGGCAACATTTACATCACTAATAATTCAGGGGTGACATTGATAATTGGCATATTATGAAGGGACATAAATTACCATTTTTAAAAATTAGCTACTGGTTTAGCTAGAATTTCCAACTTCTTAGACTTTTTCTGTCAGCTATGTGAGTTATATATCTTCCACAAGATGCCAATTGTTCAAACTCAATAGACTATTACTTCAAAGACAATGAAATCATATAGAAAATTCAATGGAATTACCATATCTCGAGTCTTGAAGTAAAATATAGGTTTGAAAGTTTCACACATTAGCCGGCCAATGAAAGTTTGAAGAAAATTCAATGAAATTACCAAAGAAAGTTTCACACACCCTACTCTTATCTATGTAGAAACAGAAACTGGGAACAAAAATTTCCAAAAACATAGAAAATGAAATACGGAGAAAATGTATAAATATATAAAGGGAAAAATTATAATTTATGCCGACCAATTATAAATATCACCCCTTAATTTTAAGTGGTATAAATGTTGCCTTTGAATTGTCAAGAAGTAGCCATATATTACTCATGAGTGGCATAAATTACAATATATGGTCCACATGTAATGTAGATCACGGTTGATGCAGGACAAGGGAAACCAAAAGAACAGAAATAACACAAACAATATAACTCAAACCAAAGACTTTCAATTATATTCCAACTTGAACTTCTCAATACAAAAGTCTGTTTAAATAGAGAATTAAGAAAAACTGAAGAGTTGTAAATAATAAAAGCATGCATTGGAACTATAAAATAAACATAATGAGAATTGGAAATACTAATAATATTTAAAGCTAATTCAAATTTCCCATAAAAAGTAGCCATCAATCTCCATGTCTCTTAGACTTCATGCATGTGACCATTTCTCTATTATTTCCTTAATTCCTGTTCCGCATCATTCTCCCTTAGTTGTGAAAGACTCGTCCCGAGTCGTCAAAATACAGTGGTACTTCACCGGACTTCATGCATGTAACCACAATCATTTTTTAATTTTTTTAACGAACCTTAAAATAACCATACCTCTTAGCACTCAATTTGTGAAATGTCTTCGTGAGCACAGGATCCTTATGAATAAACACCATAATCTTCTCACCATTTCTACAAGTTTTCTTACGCTGCCTTGTGTTAGCCCGGGCTTTATACCTTACTTCGGTAGCATCAAGTTTAGCCATAACTTCATCCTGAGCTTCAACAACACCCCTTGTTATATTTTCAGACCTTATATTTCCATAATACTATAAAGTTAGGTTGTTTCTGATAAGTAGTCAGATCTATGATCACTAATTTCTTAGTGTCCTCATAAATTTCATAGAATGCTTTGAAAATGTTCTTAGGTTGGAAGGAACTCTTTTCTTTGTTGGTGTACATTAAACTTTTCACGACACAACTCAAATGCCCATCATCTTCCTTAGCAATCTCAATTTCGTCTTTGCAATCACCTTCTCTCTCCTTGATATTATCATCCTCAAGATCAAAGGATCTTTGAGCCCAACCTTCATCTGAATAGTAGTCAGATTCTTCTCTCTTCAAACATTTCCCTTGTGTGAATGGTGGAGATTGAAATTGATGAAAGTGAGCAGCATTGTTTTCATGCGTAGGTTGGCTGTTAACCTCAACAAGTGCTCTTGTAGGGGGAAGGGAGTGTTTATTTGGAATAACTTCAGTCAACAGATTTTCAACTTGAAAATTCATGTTAAAAGCTTTACCTTGTGTCCATAATGGAGATGCTGACATTATTAGTTGTTCTTGAACCTTGACGACAGTCTATGGCTTGGGAGTTTCTTGAAGTTGATTGTAGCTTGTTGGAATTTCACATGCTCTAATCCATAACATGTCCTCTGCATATTTATTAACATTACAATATTTTTGAAAGAAATGCATTTGGTAATCCTGAGGCAAAAACTGTTCCATCAAAAGTTTTCTCATTTTTCTCCATGTTTTCACTGAGCATTTACCTTGTCTTGTTCTATAGTTCTGAATAGTCTCCCACCATGACAGAGCTCTTCCACGCAGCATACTGGCAATATATTTTGCTTGCTTATTTTCAGGAACTTCTAACATACTAAGGTAGCTATCAACTTCTGAACACCAATCCAAGAACGCTTTTGTGCCCAAATAGCCATTAAAAGTTGGTAACCGATGGTATTGGAGATGTTGCCAACTTCTGGCCACATTCTTTGTTGGCACATTCATGTCATTGATAACACATGGCGCTGCACCATTACCCTCTAGTCGAAGGCTTATGTTAGTGAGAATGCTACGAATTTCTTGAAACTCGCGATTCACATTCTCACCATGTACTTGAAAAGCTGCCCGAAGGCAATCCATTCCACGGTCACCGCCGAAGGATGGGTTGTTACCCTTGTTGTTGATACCGCCTTGTGACATCTTGGGTCGTGACAAGTGGAGAGGGCTATGCCGCTATCTCGGTTGTCGCCTAGGAACTTGAGGCTCTGATACCAACTGATGCAGGACAAGGGAAACCAAAAGAACAGAAATAACACAAACAATATAACTCAAACCAAAGACTTTCAATTATATTCCAACTTGAACTTCTCAATACAAAAGTCTGTTTAAATAGAGAATTAAGAAAAACTGAAGAGTTGTAAATAATAAAAGCATGCATTGTGATGAGGACGTTTTTCACGCATCCATCAAGTATCAAATTACAGTATAGAGTTTAGATATCGTTCCACTGGAGATGGCTCTTGTAATGTTAGGAATTGATTGCAAAGCAGAGTTAAGCACAAGCTAGAACTATTCTTTTAGAAGCTAGACCTATTGGTAAGGAGTTGGTTTGATATGATTATACTAATAACAAATAGAACAAGTAAAACAAAGGACTGGGATTTGGTTGATTCAAGCTAAGATGTCAAATATTGTACTAAGGATTAGGGAATTAAATCAAGGCATAGGGCAAGTGAGATGCACAAAAGTGTCCAAATACCACTCTCATAGCTATTTGGACTTGCAACCTCACCTTAAACTCCACTCTCGTGGCAATTCAACCCAAGGTTGCCCAAGCAAGAACACAAGGCATAAATTCTCCTTAATACCCGAAATACTCTCGTATTGGGCATTAAGTGTGTGAATGTGTGGCTAGTGTACAAGCTCTACTCTCGTAGCAACAAACACACTCCAAAACAAGCATATAATTGGGATCCAACAATCATACACAAATTTCTCAACAAACCCATTTCACACAACAACCCTAGATCACCCAAATAATCCCCTTTATGCAATACAACTCAAATAGGCATCAATAGCAAGAAATCAAACCAAATCCTAGTCCCAAAACACTTAGCTACTCATAATATAACAAAAGATACACAATGTTGAAAGAGTAATTGAAAGCATAGATGAAAAATAAAGAGAAGAGATAAAAAGAACACTTCTCTATTGAAGCCTTGAAATCCAAGATTTGCAATGTTCTTGAGCTTGGAAATGGAAAGAAACAACCAATCTACACCTATCTAAGCTATTCTAAAGTTAACCCTAGTTGTGAAGTGAAAGAGAAATGAAAAGTGTGTTCAAGAGTGGAAAAGTTCCCTTTAAAAAGAGTCAAATCGCGCTGCTAGAAAAAAACAGGGAGCTGGCCACGGCCGTGGCCACCAGGCAGAAACATCTGCCCAGTGGCCACGGATGTGGCCACGGCCGTGGCCACACCTGTGGCCACCAGGCAGTGAATTTTGCCTGGTACCTACGAGTGCGGGCACGTCGCGGCTAGCCGGGTACGCCTTCGATTGTGTCGGTGATCACTTTGATGCTCTCCTCAGCCTCAGGTCACGCCATGATCCATCCCAAAAACGTGTTAAACTCTAAACAACATCACTTTTGTTAACCAAATGCATCTTCGTGTTAAGGTGACACCAAAAACTTGATCAAATACTTCATAGAATGCTTCAAAACATTATTTCTTTGTCAAATCACCTAACACACGCAATAAATTCATAAGTGACCAAAATGAATCTATAATATAATGAGTAACAAGCAAAAACACTAAAATGCACAAGGAAAAAGCATTAGTTTTAGACATTCATCAACTTCTCCACACTTAGACTTTTGCTTGTCCTCGAGCAAAAACAAGAACTAAATCACCAAAATAGCACTGAAGTTGATCATACTCCCACTTTGCACAACTTAACAAACCACAATCCAACTCGACACAACACAACTTGTTTCAAGAATCATCTTAGCATTGTACACAAGTTCCATTCTCAAGCCA